GATTCCGCTTTCTCCCCAGCGGTAGCTCACTGAACGTGTAGTCAAGCGTCTCGCTCTTTACCTGAACAGCACGCTCAGGAGCTCTCTCCTTACGGGGACTCGGAGTGTGTCCCTGGTTTTCTTTTGGTGAGTAGGTGCATGGGCATCTCTGTTCTGAAGTGCTCCCAGGATCTACCCAGTCGCCTTGCCCTCTCTCAGACGCTGCCGTGATAAGTCACCTCGCACTGTGCACGTGTGTGTGCAGCAGGCCGGGCCTTAGCAGTGGAACCGCCGGGTCAGAGGACAAGCACGTGCGTTTGTGAAGACGGGGTCTGGTTTCCATTCCCACCAGCCGTGCGTAAGAGTCCCTGTCCCCTCACAGTGACATGAGCACCGGACGCTGTCAAACTTTGGGGTTTTTGAGAATCTAGGACTTTTTTTTTTTTTTTTTTTTTAAGCAATGTATTCTTGTATTATTATGAGTGAGATTGAGCTTTTGTATGTTCGGGTGTCACGTGCCTTTCCTCTTTGTGAGCTCGGAGTTTGTACCATCTGCCCCTCTCTTCCCATCCGATGTTGGTCTTTTCACTTTAAGTCTGTTGATCAGGACCGAGCGCCTAGTACTCAGTATGGCAGGAACTGAGGTTACAGGTGGGCATGGTGAGCAGCGGCTTTGGGTGGAGGGGTGGCGGCCAGGTCTCGAAGTGCCCTGAAAAGTCTACTTGCTGTGTATGTCAGCTCTTGGTTGTTAGACTTACGTAGTGTAGAGGAATAAATGCCTGCCTGAGCTCTGTGGTGAAGGAACTCTCCAGAAACGCATCTGAGTCCCAAACAATCAAGCTTCTTTCCCTCTTGGTTTTGTTCTCCGTGCCGTCACTTGGATCAGGCTGCCTATCCTTACTCGGGCCTGGGAACAGACTCCCTTTATGGTCCTGCGTTGCTCCTCTGGTTAACTTTCAAGTGGAACAGTTGTGTAAGATAAGTGTTTTGTTCACCTGAGGGTGTAGATGTGTACACAGTCCTCTCTCCGATAATGGCACCATTGTGCGGAAGCTGCAGGGGCAGGGGAGGGCCATGGCTGAGAGAGCCGCCCGCTCTTAGGGCCGTCACCTTGCCCTCTTCAGTACCCTGCCGTACTTCCATGCCTCCCGCGGGCCACCGAGACCAGGTGCCAGCTTGCTGAGCTCTCGGAAACTTGGGAAGCAGCAGACAGCTCCCTTTGAAGCCTGGTTCTGGGTCTTCTTAGAAATACGTGGGCTGCCTCCAGGCCACGCGATGCCTCTTGGTTTGTTTCTAGGTGTCACCCTCACTCTCTCATCGAGCCACGGACCAGGCGTTGGGATTCCCTCATGAGCCCATTCTCTGGGGTTGCGTTGTCCAGATTTCTCATCCTGGCCCAACCGTTCTTATTTTATTGATTTATTTTTGAATATTTATTTAATTTTATTTATTAATTATTTTTAAATTTGATGTAGGACACATATGCTCACTAGAGAAAGAGAGAGAGAGAGAGAGAGAGAGAGAGAGAGAGAGAGAGAGAGAGAGAGAAAGTGAAATTGAGAAAGCAAGCAGCCTGGTTTGGGACTTGAGTTACGGTTGGCAATGTGGGAGTCCAGAGCCTTAACCACCAAGCCACCCACTGGCCACCTGGCTTACCCTCTTACTGTGTGATTTTTGGCAAGTTATTGTTTTTCTTTCCAAGTCTTAGATTCCTTTTCTTAAAGCTGGAGAACCCACCTAAGATTGGGAGGATTACATAAAAAAGAACTACAGGCTTGGCTTATTTCTGCTTGCACAGTACGTACTCAGGACTGTTAGCTGTGATCTTTACGAGTAGTCAGCTTCTGTGACCTTAGATTTAGATTCTCGTGCGTATGAGGAGTTCGGAAAGAGGATGCATTTCGGGGAAAACACTGCTCACACTCAGGCTGCTTGGCTTGCCATGTCCGTGTCTCTCGTTCAGTGATTACAGAAGCTTCTCAGCAGGGGGAGAAGAGGCCCTTAGAAATTGTTTATCGGGGGAGCAGCAGGTGGTTCATGTGGTGGTTAAGGCGGTGGACACTCCCACATGGCCGACCTGGGTTCGAGTCCTGGAACCGGTGGCTTGCTTTCTCACTTCCTCTCTCTCTCACTTTCACCCTCTGTCTCTCTCTGGTCAAATTAAAAAATCAATGAATGAATAAATAAAAAATA